ATGCAATGTATATGATAATATATTATAGATATTTATATCTAAGTTTAAATAATAACAGTTTATGTGGTAATATGGTTATGTGTTTTTTTGTTTTTTTGCATAGATTTGGTCTGGGTCTGGGTTCAAATCTGACACTATAAATTAATTTTTTCCAACTATTTTTAAGGAGCCAATTTCGATCTGAATACGAACAAGAATATTTAAATCAAGTCAAACACGAACACACTATTCACGAGTCAATTTTGAACTCAAGCATTTTCGAACGAGCTGAACATAACAAGAATATTTAAATCAAGTCAAACACGAACACATTATTCACGAGCCGATTTTGAACTCAAACAGTTTCGAACGAGCTGAACACGAGTCAGCCTGAGCTCACTCAAGCTCGGCTCGTTTTCAAGTCTACTCCCAAGTCACAAGTAGATTTGTTTCACCAATTGATTTATTTACGTGGCTTCGAAGTGAATTAATGGCTTCAAACTAGTTTGCATTAAAATAGAGTTAAAATTAAAAGGTATTTACTTATATATTGAATCCTAAGTCGTCCTTTGTGAACAAGAGTTAGAGTCGGATGAGGAAGGAAAGAGGAAGTGGGGAACAAGTAAAGAATTCACTGTAGGGAGAATGAGGAGAGGTCTTTCATTTGTTCTTTTGTCTCCTATTTAAAGAGATGTATTTGTATAATAATAAAAAGGATGTCATAGTTATAAAAATCTTTCTTAATATAATTGATTCTCTACTTGATCGTATAGATTTTATACCACATATTTATTACAATTTGAATTCTAATATTACGGTAATTGGTTGACCGACTTGTTTGAATTCGGATCGGCTGAGATGACAGGTTGAGTGGCGATCGCGCCTTCCGAAGTAAATGTCGGTCAACTGAGACGTCCAGTCAAATGGCGATCTCACCCACCGTAGTATAAGTGGGTCGGCCAACTAGCTTGCGATCCAAAAATATCAAAATGATGCAGCATAAAGAAGCAAAATGACCCACCAATCATGTCATTTCTATTGCTTTTCACTTGCATTTCCAACCACCAAAATATATATTGCAATTTGCATGTGCAAATAACACCACAAAACCAACCATTGCACATTATCAAAACCATCAACAAGATGCAACATAAGGAAGCAAAAATATCAACCAAGTATTTCACACTGAAAACTACTAAACTAAAAAAGACAAAATCTACTAAAATTGAAAAACAAAGGGCCAAAACCAACAAATTGCAAAATCAAAAACCGCCATGATTGAACCATTGCATCCAATTGCAAAATCAAGAACCTAGTAGATTATACAAAGAATATCAAGACAGTGGGGAGAGGAGGAAGAGGAACCACCACACATAGCGTGCTATACGCAAAAACACGAAACTGAGCTGAACAAAAGAGATGAGAGGGATAATAGAAAGCTCACGAGAATAACAACCAAAATCAAAGAAGAGGAACCAACGCACAGAGCATAGACTGCGCAGAACCACCAAATCGAACCATGAAAATAAAGGAGAGGGGCAGAAGAGTGGAAGCTCACCGCAACAGTCACCCAAAACCACCAGAAGGCAACCGAAAACAAGGACTAGCCACCAGAGCCACAGAATCGAGCAACTCGAGAGAGGGAAATTTTAGAACAAAAGGCACGTTGAGGGAAGGAAGGAGGGCAGCAAAGGAAAAAGTAATAGTGAGGATTGCAAGCCGTGGGGTCAAACTCATGGCCTGCTTTTTGCATAAAAATGATCATACTACTGGCATGCAGCTGTAAACAAACACCGCAAATTGCGGTATGAAATCACACCGGGAAACCGCCACCCCAAGACAGTTAGTATACATGTCACTTCAACAATATGAAGAAAATTCAATAAAATCATAAATCATAGGTATGCAGTGTTATAAATATAAAAATAATAATAAGTGCATTTGATCGAGAATGAGTAAAATACTACTATAGCATAAGAATATGAGTACTCACCTCAATGGTGATTTGTTTGCTATTGGATTTATCTTGATCTTATTCCTTCTAAAGTTGATGCGTATAATAAACATGGTATTCATGTTATAGAAATTTAATTTATTAATATTATTTTAATTAATTATTAACTTTACATTACTTAAGTATTGATACACCTCCAACAAATTTTCATCATCCAACACGAATCTCGAGGCATGACACGAATCTCGAGATGATATTTTAGCAAGAAACAGATGATATTTTAAGCAAGAAACATTCAAATTTTGATAAAAAGTCATCTAGAGCTCCGATTTCAGCAAACTTATAGTCAAACTGACTTGTTCAATGAGACATGCCTAATGATATGAAAATTAGCTCAATTCAAGTTAATTCAAGCCCAGATCAAGTCATTAAACCACATATAGAAGATTTATGAATATATTTGAAAAGTCAAACGGCTGTCAAATATGGCAGGTTTATACTCAAATCGAGCGGCTTGACAAGAAGAATCCAACGAGCCCAAGATCACTCAATTCTGACATCATTAAGGCAATCAAATGCCCATTAAACCCCGTATAATAAAGGAAAGCTCTCCGGACTGTCTGATTAAAATGATTCATATTCCAACATTAATTGCACCCAAAACACTATAAATAGAGCTTCATCCCTCTAATGAAGGAAAAAAAAGGAAGACTAGAGAGAGCCTGAGGTCTTGAGGAGATGCTGCAGCTCAGCATCACCACTGACCGTCGTCGACCACCGCCGACCTCTATCGTCGACCGTCGTTGATCGCCGACGACCACCGCCGACCGTCGTTGACCATTGTCGACCGTCGTCAACCTCCACCTAACATCATCAATCAACACCAACCAGATACTGTCAGTCTACATTATAATCTGAAAAATATAGTAACAATTTCTCGTCTGTGGGACAAGGGATTTTTGTAATTATTAATCAATAGTGGATTTCCGCAACTGAGTGAGACTACCACCGCAAATTTCGATCGTTTTACTTTATGAAATTTTAATTAACTTTGTTTTGCTATTCAATATTATATATATATATATATATATATATATATATATACACATATCTTATTAAAACAATTAATTAAAATTATTAAAACTTACCTTTAAATCTCGATCAAGAGCCCTAATCCATGCCAAAAAACCTCATCTTCCCCTTCTACATGCAAGATCCATCTATTATTGGTACGCATGAGACCGGTTCGAATCCTATTCCTTTGACTTTGCATCCTCATTGAGCCCTAGCATCAAACCTCCTTAGCTCAATGACGTCACTGCCAATCGTTGGAGCCCTCAACATTCTAGTTGGAATCAAATCTCTATAATATACCTCTTGACTTCTTTTTCTTCTCAGGCTCTCAATCTTATCGCCACCTCCCTTTATTCACATCGTTTTATTGGACAAAAACACCCTTTCGTTTCTCAACCTATTTTTTCCTCTACCTATCTTCAGCGCCCTCGAGTATATTAAACTCGGTGTCACACAAAGTGCTAAGAGCCTCTTTTTTCTAAGGCTTA